ATTCCTGCTTCCTGCTGTATCCTCTCTTCTTGCTCACTCCCCTTTCTCTCCTCAGCATACATTTGACTGAGGCTTTTCTGCAGGGCTGGGGTCTGAAAGGCTGTAATGGTGAGGGCAAGGCAACACCTTTACCTGGGAATATCTGACAGCCACAGCAGGATGTCACTGGAGCCTGCCTTTATAACATTATTGCTTTTTATATTTCCTGTAAGAGGGTGGGAGTGCAGGACAGAACATTACTCTCCTAATTAACTTAGATTCCATGGTCTTTTCTAAAAATAATCCTGGCTTCTGTCCAGCCATCCTGCTAATAAAATAAACAAGCCTGCCAGAGCCCTACTAACTGTCAACATGGCTTGCTTTTCTGGTGTAGCCACCCCTTCCTCCTACAGCTAATCATTTACACGTCCTGGTCTCTCCAGACTGTTTGTCACAAGCTATGCACAGAGCTCCGGTGTGACCTCCCTGCGTGGCCCTGAACCTTTCATCTCGTCCTGCGCCAGGCAGTTGTCACCATTTCCTCCCGCTCTGCCCTTCTTCCTTTTCCTGCTCTGCATCACCTCTGCTGCCACACACAGCAGCATCCTGCACAGCTCCTGCATGACTCATCATGGCCAAACAGCCCCTTCCCCCACATCCTGCAGCACTGCTGCCCAGAGAACCTGGGATCTCCTCGCCTGGCTCCTACGCTGCTCCAAACCTACCTGGGAAAGGGTACCCCAAGCCAGGCTAGCACTTCTGTAGCTTTCCTGCCCTTGTCCCTCACCTTTCTGCTCATCAGGAGCAGGGACAGGCCTGAAATGGGGCAAACAGCATGATCCTCCCAGCCACATACCAACTCCAGACATTTCTCCAAAAAGCAGATTAGTCATTTAAAAAAAGAAAATTCACCTCTTGCCCAACATGCTCTGCAAGCTTCCCCAGTCTGGCTGGAGGTCACTCCCCTGGGTCCTTGGAGGTGTTCAGCAGCTCAGAGGAAGGCGTGCTGCACTGGCAGGAGAAGTTGCTCACTGTTGGTCGGTGTTTTCCACAGCCATTGTTTGCTCTTGTGTACCAGAAATCCCCAGAAATGTGACAACTGCATGTGTTCTCTAGCTTGCTTCTGCTAGTAGAGGCCGCCTGTGTCACTGCCTAGCAGAAGTGCCTTCCCCTATCAGACAGTGTTAATAAATCCCCTTGTATTTGTCCTGTGTACAATGAGATTCTTGTGCTGCAGACACCCTGCTGCACAATGTACCCGAATCTCCCAGAGAAGCCTTACTTAAAATAAATGCCATGATACTAGACAGTGCAAATCTTCATCTCTCTGATTTCATACCACTTGTTGCATATTAAGTCAATTAACATTGGCTTGTTGCTACTTCTGTATGAGAGTGCTTTTGTTGGGATTTTTTGTTTTGAGTCTTATACAAGAAATAAACACAGAAATGCTTTGAAACATTAGCTGAGTGGAGCTATGATAAAATTCTTTCAAGCAGCCTGGCTGGAGAAGGAATATTGCTATTGCATGCAGGACTTTTGCTTAGACTTTCTTGGAAGCTTTGTCTATCAATGACAAACAAAACCCCTGGCTTTTTTTTCCTCTCCTGTTGCTCAAAAACTATCATATTACATATGCATCTCAAACCTGTAAAAAAACAAGCAGGTTATTATTATGGCAAGGCTGTGACCTGGCACTGGGAGTAAGGGGTGTTTCTCAAAAGCACTTCACTTGTTGTATTTGACAGTTGTTGTCACTACTTGTTTCTTTTCTCTCTAGCATTTGCAAGGGGAGATCTCAAAGTTTTATTCCTATGGATTCAGTGAATGCCCGTCTGTCTGTCACTTTTAAATATATTATATCAGACCAAAAGCAAAGTGGCAGCAGAGGAAAGTCAATAGCAGTGACTGGCATCACAGCAATGTCCATCAGGGGCTAACATTTTTGAATTGCCATCCAGGAGGCATGAGCTTAGTTTCCAGAGTCTGTCCTAGGCTTCTAACCTAGCAAATCGTTGTTTCAGTGTAAAGAGCTTTCCAGGGAATGGAGCCAAGAACATTCATATGATAGTCTACAGAGCCCTTGGTGGGAGAAAAGTAGCTCCTCCTCGTTCTTGGTTGCTGCAAGCTAGAAGGAAGTTACTGGAGCTGCTGGGAAGGTGTATTGTGGTCACCAGCCAGGGAGGTGGCACACACCAGCATTAGCTACAGTCTGCTGTTGTTAAGTAATAACCCACTTTTATAGGAAAGCTTGAGGAACCTCTGCATGGGCTTTAGGTAGATAGGACATATCCACCCTAGTATAGGAGGTCAGAGGGCTGTTCCCTTCCTGGAATTCTTCCTGGGTTACTTCAATATTTTGGGAACTGCTAAGCAGCTGCTGTTTCATCTCAGAGTTGCTCCCATTAAGAGAAGTCACTTCTGGTGACAGTCTGGCAAGCACAGGACTTGGAAACCACTTTGGATGAAAGATACAAGAAAATACATGATAAAATACCAATAAGGGAGGTGGTCAGCTCTTAAAGGAATTCTGGATATCATTGCTGGAGTTCTTGCTGCAGCCATTCTCCTCATTAATGTGTACCAAGCCAGATAGGTAGCAGTCATTTGCAGTATATCCTGGCGATGTCCTTGCTTTTTTTACCTTTAGATCCAGTTGATTTGACCCTGTCCATTAAGGACTGAAGATGCATTTGCTGACATGGTATCAGTAAATAGCCCTGCTTTTGCTGAACAAGCACAATTTTTTGTTATTCCTAAAACTGGATGGTAATTACCTCTGTTAAAATGCTGATGAAAGCAGAAACCCGAAGAAGTTATCACAAGCCTTCAAGCCAGTGGTCCTGTGGTACCTCACACAGGAACTTACCCTTTCTGATAAGACTCGCCCAAGGGAACCATTGCTAACATACTGTTGTTAAACAGTGAAACACACTGGTCTCAATCATGAAAAATCTTCACCCCTTCTTCCATTTCCTTTTTCCCCATCCTCTGAATCTACTTTTAACATCACTGCAATTCCTTATTTATATATTTATCCTTCTTCTTTCTACCTACTAAAGATTATTAGGTCAAGCAACGGAAGAGGAAGTGCCAGCTATCTGTTGGCAACAAGCAACACAGTATTATACTTTCATAACCTGGCAGTCATATGTTCCTCATGTAACAATCCAGAGCTTATCACCAGGTCAGGTGGTCCGACACCATCCCATACTGAGGGCTAGACCAGTTCTAGCTCAGTTTTGCAAGCCACATGGACACGATGGTCTATGATTTTCAGCACAGGGCCAGCAGGTGGGATGTTTTCTGCGCACACACATGCAAACACAGACCTGACCTCAGTAATGGCATTTGGCTCCTTCATAAGCCAAAGTGAACTGACCCGTGCACGCCGTTGACTCGCCCTGAATTTGGCAGGGTAAGTCAGGATGTGCTGCCAGGGTCCTATTCAAAGTCCTACAGCCCCACGGGTGACTATCATTCCCTGAAATTTGCCAAACTGTACCTTCAGAGAGGCTGCCAGAGGCTTAGGAAATAATAAGGGATGCTGTGCTTACTGTGCTATTTAACTTGATAACAAACATTGGGATATAAACTGCTATCCACATGCTTAATGCTCAGTATGCTCGAGCAGTTTGTATTGCAGATCTGTAGCTGCATTGCAGAAGCACACAGGAAGGGAGATTTGAGACTTCAACAATCAAGAACAGGAGAAGTTGGCATTTCAGCAACTGATTTGGACTGGGGGCTAAGCACATTAGTTGGATGAGTCTGCTGAAATGAGCAGCAGTGAAGTAATTGATATTGGCACCAAAGGCCAGTAAGGTTTCAGGATTAACTCTGTGATTGCAGTGAACTGCTGTTTTTACTTTGCTATGCTAAACCTGTTCCAAATGTCTTGAGGATTAAATACACAAAATGATCAAACATGATTAGAATCTCTTCCCAGCAGCTGTAATCTTCTCAATTTCTTAATCCACCCAAAATAAGAAAGCTTTAAATGTGGAGATCCTGAGTGGAAAAGCTACCATGACATTTATCAAGCGATTCAGCGACAGTGCTAAAAATAGTCTCAGAAGGATCCATACTCTTGATCTTCATAATTACACTGCAATCTTCAGTACAACTCATTTAGGACTTAGGCAGCTCACGTCTCATGCCCACACTCTGGTTTTTTGCCTACAGGTACCTGCTGGAGCAGGATTTCCCAGGCATGAGGATTGGACCAGAGCCTACAACTGACTCCTTTATAGCAGTTATGCAAGGAGATGTGGAAGGAATTGTTCCTGGAAATGCCTTGGTGGTGGATCCCAAAAAACCGTTCAGGAAACTCAACGCCTTTGGCAATGCCTTTTTAAACAGGTCAGTACTCAAGAACTTAGTTGCTCTGGAGAGTAAAGCTAGAACCTAATGAGCAGCATAGCTAGCAGCTTAAATGGATAAGGCATTACACTATTCTTCCCCCTCCCGCCCCATCCACATGGCTGATGCAAAGCCATTCCAGTCCTACTGGGTGCACATCAGTCACTCACTGAAGGGCAGATTAACAAATTCAAGTGGGACAAACCTTCATTGTAGCTGAACAAACAAAACAAAAAACACAGCACAGCCTGTCAGGCTCATCCTGTAGGAGTCTAGAGGTAAATCTCTTCATTACACTTCGGCCTCCTGTACTTTTATATTCCTAGCTTCTGTTCTGCCATCAGTTCAGTTCCCTGAGATTAAATAGTCCAACCAGATGTAGCCACTGAAGTCAGTAGAGAAGTGGAACTGGCACAATATGCACGCCTTTGCTTTCTTACATTTTTAAACATTGTTTGAATGTCCCCCTTGCAACAAAACCAGGCTCTCCCCATTCTGATGACTTATATGTATAAGCTCAGGTGCAAACTGATGACAGCTCTAATGTCTTTCCTGTAAAAAAAACTGTAGCAGGGCGTTTGGACAGTAGCTCTGTGACATGAGGAATGTAACCTTTCCATCCCCTAGGCCTAGCCCAACCATACTGAGTTTTGGATCTAGACCTTGCAGGAAGCCAGCAGCACACACCCGTATCCTAGATGAGCACAAACCAGGCTACAGCAGGCAGATAGGAACAAACCAGCTGACTACACCCATCATTGACACCTTCCCTGCTAACACAGTGTGGGAGATGTTGCAAACATGGCAGCTGCTCAGCCAGCCAACCAGGAAAGCTGGACTTTGGCTCCCTTTCTAACTTGCGAGCTTAGAGAGTGTCTATCCAGAGAGTGCAGCATCTCCTACCAGCATTGACCACAGGAGTGCTGGTGTAGGCTGCAGTGAGACAGGGAGGAGACCTGCAGAGAAGCATGGGGAGAAGCTTGGTGAGAGAAGAGGGACCTAGCTGGAGTCTCTACTATGCAGAGAATGTCACACTGCCTCTGAAAGCAATATCTGATCACTAAACTGGCTCATCATTCATATACATCAACATGGTCCTGCACCAGAGAGATTGAGATGTTTTCAATATTTTATAGGGCCCAGAACATCTTCACATGACCAACAGTTAGGTCAAGTGACTGCCTACTCCCTACACCAGGGGAGGAGGGTGGTTTGCAGTAAGAAAATAACAGGCCTCCTGCCTGGAGCGCAGATATAGTAGATGGAGAGAACATCATTCAGAGCAGCTCTGCTGATAGGAGAAGCAACATCAGGAGTAAGGAAGCTGTGCATGGAGGGCAAAAAAGCAAACACTCCTGAACTGGACTGAAAGATGTGTCCTGAATGCAATTTTCTCCTAATACAGGAAGGGATCTCCGCGTCCATTAGCCTAGTTCACTGTATCCTGCTGTCCTCTTGTTACTCTCCTGCTACTCTTCCTTCTCCTGTGAGGAAGGAGTCAAGTATGTGCCTGTGAGGACAACAGGGTTAGAGGGGCACAGCAGTGATTCAGCAGCAGGAGCACAGTCCTGCTAGAAATGCACGGAGTAGCCACAACAGCTACTTAACCCCTTTTCTCCTGACAGATTTAAAAAAAAAAAAAAGGATTAATGATTTCTAAACTGACATGCTAAAGGGGACTAGGTCAGCAGTGTGAGCATCACAGTGCTGAAAATGCAGATGGTAATACCCAGCTAATTAGGAAATTAAGTGCATGCAAGAACTGACTCAGAGGGCCAGAAGTTTAGCAGATGTAAGTCAGGGTGCACCCACTGGACTGGATCAAGCCACCCACACTTACCCCTGTTGTGAGCCTGACTTCTTGGTAAGAGACAATGCAGAGCTGTCTCTGCCTTGCACATATCTTGCTGCTGCTATGTGTATGCTAAGTCACTGACCTCTGCTAGGATTCTGTCATCAGGAAATTTGGAGAAGGGAGGTAATCTCTGGGAGCCACCCCTCTAAGCTGAGACAAGAGAGTGACCATGGGCAAGTCCACTTTACCGATGGGTGGTTAAAGGTAAAAATTGGCCACAAGCACCAGCGGAAAGGAACAGAGCAGCACACGGCAGTAGCATTCACACAAACTGTGCTGGTCTCAGCTGAGAGGTGGCAGCCCATGGCACTGTGTCCTGTGGGGTGCAGAGTCTGCTGCTCCAGGGGAGCTGAGTGGAGGAGCAGAAGGTGTGAGCATCCAGCCTCAGCTGGTACTCCCTTCCCGGCAGAGACTTGGATCTGCTGCCTTCCAGGAAGCCAGGGAAGAGTGGTACAGTCAGGATTTGGCTGGGAGACGGCAGCTAATTGTGCTGCTCAAGAGCCTGTCTCCTCCCTCCCTTCATTCCCAGGAGGTGGAGTGCCTGCCCATAACCTTCCTGGCTACGGGCGGAGATAGGGCTGACAAGCTGCCCCGGGCTGAAAGGAGGATAGCAGCTCTGCAGTACCCTATCTCCTGTTGGCCTCTCCTTGCCCTAGGTGGTTCCTGGGTATTGAGAGAAGGGCTTGTTTTCCTCACTCTGCTGGCAGTACCCCAGCTCCGGAGGGATCCCAGCAGAGAGATTACAGGTTGCACCTCGTTATCAGGAGGACTTGTTTGGCACCAAGGGCCTGGAGCAAAATCAAGAATCTCAACCATTACTTTCATATCACATTGGCTTGGTTGCAAGATTCCTCCCACCCCCAAAGTCTGTCTTGGGAAGCTAAGGTGGAGTCAGTCCCATTTTTGTGTTGTCAGCGGCAGGAGACATCATGGATAACAGGTTCCTCCTTCACCCCCATGCTTTGCCTGTAGAGGTAGTGAAAGTTGAGTTTGGCACCACGGGAGTCCCTTATAGAATCATAGAATCATAGAATCATTATGGTTGGAAGAGACCTCAAAGATCATCAAGTCCAACCTTCATATGGCCCAGACAGAATTAGGTCATGCTCCCTGCAGGAGCATGGGACAGCAGGAAGGCAGCAGCCTTAACAGCCAGAATGCACTCACTCATGCTGGCCTCTGACCTTATATCTGAAATCCCCTGGGGAGTACTTTCCCTAGAGAAATGGGCGGAAAATCCCCTTGCCCAAGCCATTTAACATTAGACCACAAGGATGCTCAGGGCTATAACAAGGGAGAGCAAACCTGCGCTGGCAGGACAGGGGAGTAACATGACTTCCTGAGCCTTTTGTTCTCTGCTGCTGTGCCTGGCACTCAAGAGAAGAATCAAGCCAGCCCCCTGCTTCTACATGAGGTGTTACACATTCAGAAATGCTCTCTGTTGCCTCCTGCCAAGCTGTGGATGGGGGAGCGGGAGGCTGTAATATGTGGTCTGAAATAGCTGACAGCTTAGGAGAGAAGATGCTTATCTAACCCATGAGGATTCACTCCTGTCAGAATCTTCTTGGAGTCATACAAGTAGAAAAATTGGGGTGAGGTTGTAGCATAGCCTGGAGGAGTTCATAGCTGGGGGGACTAGACCAGAACCAGCCACTCATCAGAGCACTGCAGGGCTCTCTGCCTTGACTGCATCTAGTGGCCCTTGGGCCAACCTCCATCCTTTTTGTGGTTCTGCTTCCTCGAACAGTAACATGTTTTTTATGCCTGATGTCACACCACCCTATTAATATGCATACGTACATATACACACACATATTTATAGCTGCTTGGAATGCCATCACAAAAAGGCTATCCATAAAACTCTACCGAGAGCCACGTAAGTGGATAGGCTTTTACTGTCCTTTGCTGTTACCAGCAACTGAAATAGATGAGCTGCAACCCACTAAGAACAAACACGAGTTACTCTTCTTAGGCATAGATTTGCATAGATACAAGATGGGGAACAACTAGCTAAAGAGCAATTACACAGAAATGGAGCTGCAGAGTGGGGAGGAGTGAATTACAAACTGAATGCAAGTCAACGGTGTCATACTGCTGTTAAAAAAAGCAAACATCTGAGATATATAAACAGGATTGCCATATGTAAGAGAGAAGGCGCAATCCATCTGCTCTGTTCACCACTGGCAAGGTCACAGCTGGAGTACCACGTCAGCGTGGGGCATCATGCCTGAAAAAATATGTAGAGCAGTTTGAGAGGACCCTAAGGAAAGCTGGAAGGGTCTTCAGGGATTTAGAAATGACCTGCAAAGGCAGCTAGAGAGAACTGGAAGAGACAAGGGGAAAAAAAATGACCTCTTTTCTTTAGAGGAAAGACTGAGGGGAGACAGGATAACAACAGTATATGTTGTGACAAGAGGGGAAAAAGAAATCGTTTTCCACATCTACTGTGTTTGAGACTGGAAGGCATTGTAGCATGGAAGATTTAGATTAGACATTAAGAAAAAGAGGTTTTGCTGTAAGGATAATTAAGTAATGGAGTAGACTCCCAGCAAATGTTGGCGAGTCTGCATTGTTACGGATTTGAAGAACACTTTAGACAAACATCTGATTGATCCTGCCTTGAGGCTAGAGGATAGACTAAGCAACTTCTTGAGATCTCATGCTGCCTTTGCTTTAGGATTTCCATGGTGCAAGAATAGCATACTTTCTGTCTGTTCAAGACCAGATTTGAAAGAGAACAAAAATCCTACAACATTGCTGATTTTTTATTTTTTAAATGAGTTGATTCAGTTCACTTGAGTTCAGGACTCTGCAGGGGAATGCTTAAGTGAAAGAAAACAAATACGAGTTCTTGTTAAAAATCTAAAACAGCAAATGAAAACGTTTGGATTTCCACATTTGTATTAATAATTCACAATTTGGGGGCCACAATAAAAAAACCTGTCATAGGTAATGACTGAGACCCATGTTCCAGAAGTAGCAAGATAGTCAGAGAAAGTGCTCAGTTGTGGCTTCTTTCTCATTTCTTTAAATCAACAGTAACTCCAAGCTTCAGCAGAAGACTTGTAAGTGAGATCAGAGCCTGGCTTGTCACATGCTGCCTGTGATGTTCAGCACATCATAAATACTTTTTGCTGTTATTTTAAACACATTTATTTTCACACAGGTTCGTTTGTGCCCAGTTACCTAATCCTGTGTTAGAGAGCATCAGCGTCATTGACACACCAGGAATCCTTTCTGGAGAAAAACAGAGAATTAGCAGAGGTAAGTCCCAAGTTCAGTTCTCTTCCAAACGACAGTAGTGAAAACCAAAAGGACTCCATACGAGTTTTGCCTCAAGCAGTACAAGCTGTAGACAGAAGTAGGAGCCTCTCAGAAATACAGCATGACTTTACCAATGTCCCTTCGGAATTGATTTGCAATCTACTATAGAGAATTTAAAAGCTTTCTGGGAAGGTTGCTGACAAGGTCAGCAGTACCTGTGTCACAGTCCAGTATTTCCCAGTGGAACAGATTTCCATCAGAAAGAGCCAATTAATACCTATCTGCTTTGCAGAAACACTTGCTTTCAGTGACTTACTGATGAACCATAGGCAAGGCTCCCATGGAAATCAACCTGTGTTCTCTCCAGTTGACCTAGCAGGTTTCTTGCACTGTCCAGGCTTCCTAAATTTAGCACAGGACTGGATTTGGCTAAAGAGCCATTGGCACCCAGGTTCCTCATTGCAGTGGGGAATCTGGAAATCCTGGGGATACTAAATGGATGTGACGAATAGCACAGAGTCTGTCAGTGAACTTCTGAGTGTCTCAGGTTGACCCTCTGAAATGGGCAACATCTTGATACTTTAAGCCTAACATCTGTGGTCACTTTCTGAGCTCTGAGGTAATGGTGGTATAGCTCACATTTCTTGCTGATTCCTTTGAGAAAGCTGGTAGCTATGCATCGTTTCATTGGAAGAAAGCCAAGAGGGGTAATTCAGGTTTAAGAAGATCAGTTCTCTTTCTCACTGCCTATTAACCATGCACAATTAAGCAGAGCAGCACAGGCTCTACCCAAAGTGCTGAGGCCTTTCCCATGTTTCGGTGTTCTGTCCCCTAAGATTCCTGATGACTCATGCCTTTCCCACTTTTGTAATACTCTTTTGCATTGAAATTGTTCTTGGAATCTTCCTTTTCTGTTTTAGTGAGCAGCCACCTTGCACAAAGCCAGGTCTTGTTTATTTTACTGGGATCTTCCACCACAGAGACCTTAGCTAAAGAACATTAGTAAAGCTATAAAGGACAGCTAGAGTTAGTCCAAAACTCACATTAAGCTTTTTCACCATGGGTTTCTGCACTGCTGAGGGATCATAAATTCCTTCCAGGCAGTCTACAAAAGGTAGCAAGATGTGCAAGCCTTGATCAGAAGGTTGAAAAACATGCTGTGCAAGCATTCTTCCCTTCAACAGAAAGTGTTTAAAAGTAGAGATAAACAAAAATTTGTATTACATAGTGTAAACATTTTTCAGTCAAAAAATGCTACTGAGAACAACCAGTTCTCTTGTGGAACCATCACTGAAGAAGACTTGCTTAGGAACAAATATTTTTTTCAAAAAAAAAAAAAAAATTGTGAGTCAAAATAGACCCATTTCAAGTCCCCCCAAAAGTTTAAATAGCCCCTTTTCCAAATCTCCTTACCAGTTCAAATCCTGACATATGTTACAAGATTTTCCTATTTTCCAGCCATTTCCAGTACTAAAAATATCATCCTGCAAAATGTACTGGCACTTCTTGCTCCTCCTTTTGCAAAATTTCTCTATCAGCCTCCCAGTAGGCCTTGGTGTCCCATTCCTGCAGCTACTCTAGGAAATGCCAGCAATGCCAGAACACCCCGATGCACAGCTCTGCACTGTTAGGAAAGTCACTGGTGCACTTTGGCTCGGGTCAATAACGCCTCTCCAAACATCTGGGAACAGCTGAGGGAATGTTCCTTATAAGCAGGGAAGGCTAAAGGGGAGCTCCAGTTCTCTAAGATTTTCCATGCTACACGTATTTGTAGGGCTGAAGGCCTGTCTCAAGTTCTTCCTGGACATCTTTTCTGCCCCTAGTGCAATTAAATGCTTGTGCATGGGCCCTGTGACTACAGTGTGTGGTCACTCCACCCTTTTGCCAGGAGGTGAGAACTCTAGGTGGAGCACAGCAACGTCCTGCTCATCCTGCCATCCCAGGAACTTGCTCTGCTACACCTCCAGCCAGACAAGGGGGCTGTCACAACCCGGCTATCAACTGACCTAATCACAACAGTGAAGAGTGCGGGGTAGGTGGGATCTCACTATGTCACCATTTGTATCCAGGACAGCCTGAAACTGGTCATGTGGGCCACATCAGATGGCCTTTCAATAGCTACAGGACAAGATCCTCATCTGGATTAGATCAACAAAGCTTTGTTGAAGCTGGCAGAACTCCAGCAATTTCTATCTGCAGGGGATTCAGCCCAGGGAGCAGAAAGAATCAAAAGAGTGCTGATGTTTAGGAAGGGCTACTGCCAGGCATTGGCTTGAGCTTATCTCAAGGAAGCTGGTGTTGGAAAGGCAGTGCTCACCTCCCAGCTCCCATGGAAGAGGAATAGGAAAAAGTGGTGAGGCTGGTGCCTTTGCCACCAAGCATACGAGCCAGCTGCCCTCATTAGCAAGTTGGTTTTGGAGGCAGATAGAGCAATAACATGGTTTCTAGGCAGAAAACAAGACAGTGCTCAAAACTGCTGACACAACAAAATGCTCCTGCTGTTCTATACCTTCCCAACCTGCTCAGATTTCACTTGGGAATGAAGCAAGACCTGAGGGAGTCTTACAGAGGTTTCCCAAGAAAGACTTCGAAGTTTCTTAACTGCTGGGAACAGAGGAGCTCTTCTTACTCCCATTGTTTGCTACTAGCAGGTTTTAAGACCCTCAGACTGGGGTACCTGTGATGCAAGGTCAGGGTAGGGAGTGGATAGTAAAGCTTTCTGTCATAAATTTGTGGGGAAAAGTAAAGGCACAAAAGATGTGGCAGGCTTTCCCAGCCTGCCCATCTCATGAGAACCAGCAGCATTTCTAAAAATAGGAAATTCCTCTCACTGGGAACATCACAAGTCTGTCTCCTTTCCTATTAGACATCAAGATCATTAGCTAATCTATACAGTCTCAGCTTAGCAGAACGTCACTGCCTTGTTGCTTTGGAAAGACTAACATGACAGATAACGTAATCCCTTCCCTGATGGACAGACAGCGTGCAGAAGCACCAGCATGCCAGTGTTAGTGCAAGCAGCAGTCAGCCTTGCATAGCCAGCATCAGGGCTTTGCAAATGCGTAGCAATCTTTCCTCCAAGGAACGCTGTATAATGCTGAGAAACAGAGCTCTGCACTCTGTCTCTTCCAGGACACCACTACATGATCATAAGAACCACTTTCCCCGCACAGAGCAGCCCATGAAGTTTCCCAGCAGCAGACCTGCAGGTTTAGGCCTGTTAAGCAGTTGAGGGTGATGCAGTCTGTCATAGTTGAAGTCCACATCCACTTGGCATGCAATGAGATCACCAGCACTGACACAGCTGCTGCTCTTAGGCTCTGGTGAAACGTGTAGCCAAGGAGCTGCCTGTAGCGATTTGTCATACTGAGCTCCTGTGACTCATGCACTTCTTCGTGGTGGGCACCCATGGTGTCACAGGTGTGGTAGCCAGACCCATGGGATACACAGGGTTCATTTACAGGCCTGGGGTGAAGCATTCACAGGATGTTATGGCCCAAAGCATTCTGCCCTTCACTGCTTCGGTATTATCCTTGCCTGGAGAACAGCCATTTCACTTCTGGTCTTTTTAACATACCGGGGCATGGATCTAAATCCACATGTAAAGAAGTAGTCATTGCATTGCCTTGTCCCTTGCTCTGTGTCCTTCTCCTTTCTTTTATTGTTTCCAGCTGAGCTTGAGGCAACAGCAGGCTGCAGAGATGCCCATAGGGGAGGTATTTGTACCAAAGCAGCACAATCTTGGCTGCTTTGACAATTTGATGATAATATGGATGCTACCTGTCTGCAAAACGCTGTTCTGATGTCACAGAATGAGCCCAGGCCATCCTGCTGGGGGGGAGATGAGAAAGGGATAACTGTACTGAAATAAGTGAGGACAAAGAGGAGGACCACGGGTCAGGTCCTGCAGTACAGCAGAGCCAGGGCAAGAGTTAGGACTTCCTCATAATTCGTCATCTTGTGCAGTCTGCCGTGCTAATTGAGCCACCTGGTAACAGCAACTCATGCACTTCAGTAGCAGTGCCATCCCTGGGGGGCTGAGCCTCACATGCTCTGCTAACTGTCAGTCTCGACCTACATATACCCCGAGCTGAGCAGATCCAAGTCTGCCAAGTTCAGCGATGCCCTGACCAAGTTGTATTTGATCCCTGTTTCAGGGTAGTACTTCCGAATACATCCTGAACACTTACTTCATCTTCACCCTATATATGTCACCTTCTCCCTTTCCCACGTTAGCAGTGAGCACAAGGTCCTAGCCAGGAGGTGAGGACTGGCAGCATCATTCCTCATCGACTTTCTTTCCAGTATGCACTATTCCAGCCTTTCTCCAGCCTTCCACCCAGTTCCATTCTGCTGGCTGCAGTGCAGCCCAGGCTTCCCGTAGACAGGGAAATAAAACCGCACCCTAGCCTTGCTGTGTCTCCTGTGAAGAAAGAATTCCTAAATGACCAGCAGCTTCAGCACCAGGGATATTTAGTCACTGACCTGCCTGACAGTGAGAAGAAAAATGCCGATGGCAACAGTCTTAGGCAGTGCAGAGCTCTCAGACTGACTGTGTCTCAAATAGCCATGCTTGGAAGGGAAAGGCAAATACCAAGGGAATTGGTGTTCTCCTACTTAGTGCAACATTGTTTAGGGTACAATGGTAACAAGAAAATATTTTTTCCAAAGAGTTTCATTGCGTGTGCTAGCAACAGCATGATACACAACTGAAAGTATCCACCCTGAAAGCCTCTAAAAGAGAGGCATTTCAAATATTTGCTATAATACTCCCTGCTGGTCATGTTTGCTTATATTTTGTATTTCACTCTGCCTGGGACGGTGAAAGTGCACTCGTTAGTTCTGACTTCCCCGTTCTCCTCCATTACTGCAGTGCAGTAGCTGCTCTGCCAACTTGCCTGATTTTATCACAGTCTCACAAATGCATGCTGTTCCACTGAAAGGCTCAGCTCATACAGTCACACTGTTCTGCACTTCCTCTAAGAGCAAGGCAAAAATGA